GTAAGCATACAGCCAACACTGAAGACCTGGGGTGATCCTTAGAATCCATATGGTACAAGGAAAAAAAAACATATTCCCCCCCACCAAGTTGTCCTGTGATCTTCGTCTCTGTCTGTTAAACACATGGATATGCACACACATACACAGGTGCTCCCAGACAAACAGATGCATAGACTCTGAGAACTGAATCCACTGGCTCAGGGACACTCCACTGGAGAGTGTCAGAACCATGGAGGAGTCTAAAGGCACTGTCAGGTCCATGAAGCACACTGTCTTCCCTGTCTCACTGTCACATGACCAATGGGACTCAGCAGGGCTGTGTCACAGCCACAGAGGCACAGAGGGACCTACACTTGGACCTCTCCCCTCCTGGGGCAGGGTCTGCCTGATGCTAGGGAACTGATGATGTCACATTTGACTTCAGTGTGGGGATGAACATGGGTCAGGGATGAGGGAAAGAAACCTCAGGAGGTCAGGAAGGAAGTGAGAGGGGACCAGGAGGGAGGCAGCTGTGGGAACAGAGGCTTGTAGTGCTGTCCTGCTTTAGAGAGGTGGAGAGGCCATGTCTCCCTTTTGGCAGATCTGTTAATGTAGGTCCTTCCTGTGGGGCCATATGTACCCACAAAGGACATAGTCACAAAGGTGTCCTGATGGCCATTTTTCCAACCCCTGTGTGTGCTGTCCCTTTTTCTGAGGACCTCCAGCTGGCCAGTCATGGTACCCACCCACAAGGCTGGTTTACATCCCCCTACTGGAAGCAATGCAGGTTCCTGACATGATTGATTGTTTTTCATTGCAGCCAGAGAAACAAACATGTGCCTTCCAGTGAGCACCCCAGCATCTACCTAGGAGGCTCTGGAGTCAGAGGCATGTGCTCCTCTGCTGCAAGACCTTGACCCAGAGAGGACAGGATGCTGCTCTAGGCTCCAGTGAGGGGCATCCAGCCTGTGACCCAACTCCAGGCTTCTGATCCCTGCCGGCCCATGGACAGCATCCTCACAGCCTGTGTCATCTGCCTTATCCTCCAGCAGTGCTCTCTGGGAGTCAGACTCTGAAGGAAAGAGAACTCAAGCTTGATGTCCATCTGTACAGCTGTTGGGATGTTCTGTCCAAAAAAAAAAAACAAAACAAAACCAAAAAACAAAAAGTCTGATCATCATCAATAAACAACAGTCATCTGTGAGGAGGTGCGTGCACTCTGAGGGATGCATCCTCCTCATCCCACACAGAAACTTCAGCAGCGCACGTGACCCTGGAACCCAGAGAATGTGGCCAGTGTGCATTGAGGTGCACTGTTTCTACAGCGTGCAGGCTGGGGTTACCGCAGTGCAGGAGAATAAAATTGTGTGCACTTTATCCTGATCTCTGAAGCTCATAGCAGCATATAGCCTGGACCAAAGAGATAGAGGAAAATGGAGAATGTGCTGAGTTTCTCTGGAGGATCATTCTGAAAATACCTCTGTGTGAAATGAAGACCATCCTAGAAGCCTGGGACTTTTTGTCTGAAGACCAACAGCAGACCATAATCTTGAAGCAGAGAAAGAAATGTCTAGCCCAGAATGTGATTCTGCTATGTAAGGACAAGTGTGCAAGTCTTTATGACATGGCCCTTTTAGACACTGTATATACTCAATTTCATTGGCACCAGAAGCTTTGGAAAGTCTTTGAGATGAATAAAGAACCAGGCAAAGATGTCAACTTTTTAGATATGGAACAATTCCAAAGTTCCTTTTAGAGAATTCTCCTTATAGTCTCCATTTCTTTTGAGTTGACAGCCCTCAGGAGTCACCATTGTACTATTGACCACTGGTACACAGCATTCCTGATCGGGAATCATTCCTGACGCACCCTACGGTACACCCCAACTGGATCTTTAAGCACTGTCTGTGATCTTTTTTTAATACAGGTATTGCTGACTTCATGACTGCAGGCTCCGTGCTGTGCTGACGCAAGCTCTGGACGTCGGGCTCCAACAGAGCTGGGCTGGCGGGGACCAAGCAGGGCAGTCGGGCAGCCGCGGGGACCCGGACTCACTCTGAGGAGAGCCAGGTGGCAACGCTGCCTGTGTGCACTTTAAAATTTGTGACTTTAAAGCTTAGATGTGTGAATGTGTTTGAGGATGAGATTCATAGCACTGAATTAAAGCAAAATGCATTGAATTAAACTAAAATGAGTTAATTTTTTCTTCCTTCCTCCTTTCCTTTCCTTCCCTTGCCTTCTCTTCTCTTCCTTTCCCTTCCCTCCCTCCCTCCTTTCCTTCCCTCTCTCCCTTCCCTTCTTTCCCTTCCTTCCCTTCCCTTCCCTTCCCTTCCCTTCCCTTCCCTTCCCTTCCCTTCCC